TTGTGAGTGTGTGTTATTGTGTTATGTGTGTTATTGTGTTATGTGTGTTATTGTGTTATTGTGAGTGTGTGTTATTGTGTTATGTGTGTTATTGTATTATTGTGAGCGTGTGTTATTGTGTTATTGTGAGTGTGTGTTATTGTGTTATTGTGAGTGTGTGTTATTGTGTTATGTGTGTTATTGTGAGTGTGTGTTATTGTGTTATTGTGAATGTGTGTTATTGTGTTTTTTGTGTTATTGTGAGTGTGTATTATTGTGTTATTGTGAGGGTGTGTTATTGTGAGTGCGTGTTATTGTGAAAAAACTATCTTACCAGTGTAATATGGTCGTAATCATGTTACTTAAACATGTGATATTAATTACGTCTAAACTACTATAACTATAAAACCATACTTTATACGTGATTTTCATTAATGAATTTGTCTTCCTTGTACGGTTTTTCAAAACTTAAAAAGAAACCAATGCAATTATGGCAGAGCATAGGCACTAGATTGGTTTATCAATTTTCAAATGTCAAAGGACTTTTAAAGTTCACACTCTGTAGTTTGGAGCTCTGGCTCTGACTAAACGCCTTTCCCATGCCAAATCCAACGACCTGCTTAGTTGGCAGAGGGACATCGAGATCGAATGATCGCCCCACCGTGATCAGACAATAATTATATAGACAAAGGAACCCATCAGCGGAAACATTTTATAATTAAAATTTTAATTCGATTTCATTACATTGTAACTATAGCATATTAGATATTAGAATATGCTGAATAGAAATATTTTGGAAAATAGAAAGTTTATCAGAGTTGTTATTCCTTTTGGATCCAGTTAACGTCCGTCAGTATGTATATAAACGAAATAACATTATAATTGAAGATGACCCTAAAATATTCTTCATACTTTCACTTCCAGCCTAACGAAATATTACCCAAATTAATTTGTTTTCGATATTTGCCGTCTCCATGGTAATCTAACAGATTTTCTACCATAGTCCGGGTGTAATGACCATGTTTTAAAAACTGACCAAAGAGTGTCATAAATGACCTATTTTTTTTCTAACAATGACGAATTGTGAAACAACAAAATCCATCAAGACTGTCATGTTGTTCTACTTTTGGTTTTGCTATCCTACAATTCGCCCGGCTTCTCCTGTCAGTAATGTTTTACAACACGGCTTTCAACCCCTCAGTGAAATTTTTGAACAATTATGATTTACGTCGTTCTATTCAATCAGACTATATTCTCTGAAGACTGACATGAAAAAGATTCCAGGGAAAACCAAAGAGAAGATCACGAATTAGTAAGGGTTTGTAGGGAGAGGGGGCAATTCAATCGATCAAGGATCATGAAAGAGACATTAGAAAGAAAAAGAGGTGTCATTCAATCCACCAGGGATCCCGAAAGAAATAATAGAAAGAAAACAATATGTATCTTACCTATCACAAGAGTCATCTTCAACGTTCTGATTCTAGCTCTTTCTATAATACCCATAGCAGATCTTCTTAATTCACCTTTCTGTCGAATAGACGAGCTCTCTAACTGCACTGCAAAAAAAGGGGAGACAATTAAAACTCAAATTAAATTACCACCTACAATTTCTTCGAACCTCTTTATTCGGAAATTGAAAAGAGCAAGCTATTTCCACTGTCCTGGCAAAAATTCTCCCCATTGCAAATTGCCCGGCCTTATTAGCGCAATTAGGTATAAAAAGTAGGGCGTAAAACTCCATTCATTTCATTTCGTTCGTGTACCACATTTACCAAAAATAGAGGTTAATACCCCATTAACAATTGTAAACGAATTCACCACATGAGGTAATAAGCAAATGTGCGAAAAAAAAGCAAGACAAAAAAAGCAAGACAATTCCATTAATAAAGTAAAGTTGTATAGTAGTGGAGTGGTCACCTCTGAAGAGAACTACCATCAGGTGTTTCGCTCTATCACCCACCACTACTACTATAGTAGATGAATCAGATCAATTAATCAATTCGACTAAACAAATCATTCGAGATGCAAGAAAGAGATTATTTGTGATATTTTTCCAGAAGTTCGATATGACGACCATTATGATATCTTAATGATGTTGATATATAGGTTGTTACTCGTGTTAGTTCAAGAAAGTTAAAGGTTTGACTGTATTCAGACATCACCTTCAGTTGAAATTGTCGTAAGTTGATATTTTGTCCAGACAAAATACGCCTATCAAGATAAATAGAAATAAATGACAGAAACCATATTTTAAATATTTTAATTTCAAATAATTTGCCGCTATTACATCTGTCTGGAAACTGGTTAAACCCATAATTGTTACATGTATATCCATTTACCTTCGTAAACAGTGTATTTGATAGAAACAGAATATTTAAGGGGTTACGAGCAAGAGGATAACAGTTTACAAAAAAGAGCGGTTAATAAGGGGGAAGGGGCATTTGGCAAGATTACTATTAGCGTTAGTAGCCTAATTATGACTTATTTGATCCCTACCCCTAAAGCCTATGGCTCTTATGGTAACGGGTTACGCATCTTCACTTATTAAAGCTATTACGAAGGTCGTAATGCATTGACATTGTGAAGATGGGAGATACGGGGCTCGACGCCGACATAGGTCGAGATTATACCTTCCTCGACAACTTCACCCATCCCCACTCATCCCCACCGTACTGTGGGTTTTAAGGACTATCGTGGAAAATATCTAGTCGTTCTAATACGACATTACGCAAGGTTACGTGTGCTACAGACTGTGTCCATTAAACAAAATAACACGACAGTTTGAAATCGAAAAAGATCGGTTGTCTCTTTCTTTGCGTATTTCCCTTATTGCACACTGCAGGTTGTTGTAGATACACTGTTTTATATGTACAACATATACTGGAAAAAATCTAACTTGTTTTATAACATCACTGTCAGATTTTAGATAAGGGGTTATTCAAACTATCGTTTCGGATGGTTTAAACTCTGATATGTATGAATCAATAATTTCATTATGTTTCTAGGGTAACTTTCCAGATATCAGTTTTGTTCAGAACGGTCTTCAATCTGTCAAGGGTTTCTATATAAGGATCCCAATGATTGACACAGGCAGGAAATTATTAAAATCTTCTTCAGGCAGCCAACAAATTCACTTGAGAAAATAAATTCAATTTTATTTTCCAATTATGCTCCCTGCTCATTTTGAAATGTTTATTGGAAAAAAAATGTTATCATTCTTAGAGCAATTATAGTGAAACCTATCAGTGGATACCGATAGACGGGTTGTAATAACTATCATCAAGACATAATAAAATAAAAAGACAGAGTTTTCTGCTTTAGAACCAGATCTGAAAATTTCTGTACCGGGGCAAATGAAGACCCTCAACGCAATTGTTGACTTGAAGTATACAAGTTATTATGCGCATAGGTAGACGAAGCAGAACGGGCCTAAGCTAACCGGAGAGGGAACTGGTTCGTCGTATTCTTCTATATATTTGTGTTGTAATGTTACCCCGGAGTTTTTATGTATCGTCTTGTATGTTTTTCATTTACAACAATAAATAATTATCATCATCATTATGCTTGTCAGTATGCAGTATAAAATGATGGAATTTGTGCCGGGACAGCAGTTTCAGAATGCTATATTTACTCGTATGGTCATTGCTACTTGTACACGTGCAGCCTATAGAAAAGCTCAATTATCTCATGAAAGACACCTTTTGTCCGATCTGCATCACTGCCTCGGTTCATTACCTCATATCCAAAAGATTAAACGTTTTTCCATGTCATTACACCACATTACACGAGTCAATAAGATCATGTTTGTAAAGTTATTTAACACGCAATGTGTATAAAATAAGATAATGACGGCTATTTCCAGATTGTCTATGAAACCTGCTTCGTGATATTGTGATTTCATATATCCTGCTGGGAATAAGATAAAATTTGCTCATTGTATTTAGTATATTATTTGATATTTTATATAGTGCTTAAATAAAATGAAGTAGAGTTTTGTGTTTTATTCTACATCTAATATGGTATCATATATAGTGCCCAAAGGAAATGAAGTAGAGTTTATGTCCTTATTATCTTTACGGTATCATAATATTTCCCAAAACGAAATGGAACTGAGTTTATTGTCCAGCATTTCTGCATCTTATTTGTTATCATACAAAGTGCTAGCTAAGAGTATCTCAAAATGGGGTTTAATCTCTCTCTGTACCTTATTTAACAAGTGAAGAATAACAGAGTGCCAAGAAGAATTAAATGACAACCTTTATCTTCACTCTTCATCGATTAATAGAAGGCGTGTGGTGCCAAATGCAATAAACAATATGATCTTTGTAGACTATTCGCAAAGTGGCATTCGGAGTTCCGGAAAGGTAAGCATAGCCTGTCCCTCTAGCGACGCCTTTCACAATTCTAATCTGAGTGGTTCTGAAATTTAATACCGTATTGTCCCTTTAATACTAATTTGATCCAATTGGATAGGAAATTGAATTTTTAGTTCTTGAAAAAGAAAAGAAAATGTTGTAAAATGTTATTATTGTATTTTACAGCTATTCCCGGGCGAGTATTACTTCTAATTCTTGACAGACTATATTACAATTCCAATATCTGTCGAATTCTTCATTCGAGGTTGGACTTGGAGATGTCTATAAATCTTTAAAGTTAGATAGTTAGCTCTAGTTAGAGTGACTTAGAATGGAAGCCAGACAGACATCCTTAAGTGATAATACGTCTTAGAATTAACATAAAATTTAAGAATTTTAAACTTGGCGAATAAGAGCCAGTAGATATACCTGGTGTCATAAATAACATAACAGGATCCTTATATAATCCGATAAATCCAAAAAACTTAGTAATTATCCATAAATATGCAATTCACTATTGAAAAACGCTTGATATCAAGATTAAGCGTTTTTCAACAATTACTCAGTTTTATGAATTTTCCCATTTTCCAGATTTTACAGGGATTCTGTTGTAACTTTATGACACCAGGTAAGTTCACTGATGAATATATACTCATATTGACCATTTCGAGAAGTTCATTATATGACGAAGTATCACTTTAAGGAATAGTCTGATGGTATACATGTATATTTATTCATGGTTTGTTGGACTTCTGGTAACTCATTACCTTGTGAATTCATATAATAACAGACCAGGGAACGGGTGTTTGAGTTGATCGATAATTCACACGGAAAAATAAAATGAAGTGAATGGAGTTTTACGTCCTACTGCTCTGCTTATGTGGGCTAATGAAAATGTTATAATTCACACGGTGACCATCTCCAAAATTCATATGGTTTTATTCCTTGGTTGGGGGTGGTCAAAAGCGCCACCTGTGACATTTTGTGCTTTGATTATTTTCTTGACTAAATTTACTGTATGATTGAGTAACAGTTCTTGGTTCGAGATGACACCATCGATTTCTCGATTGGGGAGAATTCTGTAGACTAATTTAAGTCAATCTAAATTTAGATTACAATTCCGTTTGTATTTTCCTGATATTTGTGGTCTTCATTGTAATCTAAAAAGTATTCTACCACAGTCCTGTTCTAATGACATTATTTTTCCCAATCAAAGCGTGGGATACGTAGGATATGTTTCTCGATAAAATGACGAATCGTCGGATGGGGAAACCCAAAGTAGAGCAATAAGATAGCCCTTTTAAATTAGATTGGATTGGAAAGTAGACTTGTGGGACGTCAAATGACATTCACAGTAGTCCTATCGGAGGTAGCCCTAGTCAATCTAGATTAAAACCAAGTCCCTGAAGCATCCTAGATCAGAATTACACAATCATTTGATTTAATCAGTGGTAAAAAATTAGTAGGAGTGCTCAGACATAGCTCTCAGCTAACTTTGGAAAAGTAATAATGTTTTTTTTTGTTTATATTTCTGATTTCTGATTTCTCTATAAATGTCGATAGAAAGAGTAATTATTTTTTTACTGAGAAGTCAACTTAACTAATCTTTTCTGCTTAGTTTATTCATTTTTAAAATCAATTTTGTACAAATTTTCACAATTAGTTTTTTTCTAACAGACATTGTCAAATTAAGTTTTGTGGGTGTTTTGTTTATCTGCACCAAAGGGTTGAAGAAACTAATCAGATTGTTGCACTGCCAATGGTGTGGATATAGTATTTATCTCTAGCTCTGCCCGTATATTATCACTTATTGTAATTTGGCGCCCTATTTCCAGTATTGTTAATTTTGTATATGTATCATGTATCTTATGTCATATTAGTTTTGTGAAAATCGTGTTCCATTATCTTAAATAATGCCACATAAAGATCAAGTTATCAGTTTATGAATACTGAAAGGTAACACTGTCGTCTGACATTTCTGTAAAAAAAATCAGAACAAGCAAGAAAATTCCGACAATCACAATCTCGTCCAATGTGTGACAAATCGAGAGTAAACGTTGTTTAATAGTGGGCTCCTCCAAAGAGAAGTACCATCAGGTGTTTCGTAAAACGCGCATCCGTCACTACTATAAAGGTCAACCTCATGAGATACAATCAGATCAATTTATGCATGACCAAACAAACCTTGCAAAATTGTATTGGTGGTTGCTACAAAACACTAGCTGAATCCTTTACCCAAATATCATCAATGACGTTAGTTTTGTATTAAACCGGTCTGTAAAAATATCTTAAAACTGATACCACGTCTTAGAATGAACATAAAATTTAGTTCTCAAGAATGGTCAATATGAGTATATATTCATCAGTGAACTTACCTGGTGTCTTAAAGTTGCAACAGAATTCCTCTAAAATCCAGAAAATTGGAAAATTCATAAGATATTAAGCGTTTTTCAATAGTTAACTGCATTTTTATTAAGTTTTTTTGGATTTATCGGATTATATAAGGATCCTGTTATGTTATTTATGACACTAGGTATATCTACTAATGAATATATGCTCTTACTGGCCACGTTTAAAATTTTTAAATTTTATGTTCATTCTAAAACATAGAATCCCTTTAATAAAGTTTTATCACTTCATCATGACGATATCTAAAAAAAGGTTTTACTCATCAAATCAAAACTAAATGCCACCAGTAACACGACACAACAGACAACATTAAGTTACCGACGCGAAGACACATTTTGCTCTTCATAGAATCTCGACAAATCATGACATATCTACTTATCAACTTCGACATTTTAATTTTCGCTGATTGTTCTCTTTTAAGTAAATGTAATCTCGACCAGAAGAAGAATGATCATATTCGTACCAACTTGATACGACTAAAAAGATAACACAAACAGTTCATTAAGTAAATACAGCGTAATATAAAAGTCTGAATTTTGTAAAAAAAAAAAAAAAACAAAAAAAAAAAAACGTTGTAATTGATAATAACCGGTTCTTATGTCTAAAAGTGGAATTGATAGTGGAAAAGCTCTCTTGATGAAAAAAATGTTTGGTAATTGAGATCCTAAGTAATAATCAACAACCTACACATTTTATACTTCTTAGTCACTACCATCCTTAACTTACATCGGAGAAACTAAAATTATTTACACGTGCAGATGTGTCCCATAGGGATTTACTGTGGTGTTTCGTTGCCAAAATAAATCGAGCCCGAATATATCATAGAGAAATATTTTTGACAAAGCTCAAGGGTTATATAGCGGCTGAAAGATGGTCGGTTTCAGAGTT